GAAAGGCTGTAGAGTGACGAATTTGAAAAAGTTAAATTCTACGATCCGGTTAATGAGCGAAAATCCTTGAACAGCAAAGGATTTCTAGCAACTAACGGCTTCGGTGCGTGTCGTTCATGACCCAAGCATTGTGCAAACAAAGATGGTCAAAGTGATGATTTGCTTTTGAGTTGTTGTTTGTGTGAATTGAATGCCAATTCGTGGAAAGTCGTGCATAAGGCTGCGTCAAAGGATAATGCGGCAAAGTGTTGCAAGTCAGTTAAAGTTGCAAATGATGGCAGTGTTAACGGCAGTTAAGGCGAATTTGTTAGCGATTTTGTTTGCCTGCTAAAGATCATGTACGTGGTTTCACTCGCAAGTGAGGAATTCGGCTGAAGATATGTGGCAGTAAGCAATCGGCATGTAGGCAGTTTTTACTGAATTGTTGCATAATACTTAAGATACGAAGGGTTTGTAGTTATTTACAGTTAATTTAGAATGCAATTCACGCCTTTAAATATACACAAGGTTGCGTAAATTTTGTTGGAAAAGTCAATTGCATGCAACAGAAGTTGCATAAATAGACATTTTCTGAATTCTCCTGTTTATTTTGTTAGTCGAAAGGATGCTAATGGATTCTAAGATTTTTTAACAGCTATCAGTCGAAAAAAAACAACTAAAATTGCATAAATGGCGCATGTTGTAATAAGCACTGTCTGGCGTTTTTTGGAAAAAAGCATAATGCGGAGAATATTGAATTGGCAAAGGTAAAGTTTTAGGATTGCATAAGTTACGTGCGCTCAAAGAATTGTCTTGTTCATGGACAAATACTTCGGCAATTCTTCGGTAAGAGTTAATTTCATTATTAGCAATGTTAAAGGGACACGCAAATAGCAAACTGCAAACCGAAAAGTGAGTGATTTTTTACAAAAAAAATAAAATAAACAAAATATTTTGAATGAGTTTTGGAGGATGCTAAATTGGTTATGCTTAATGTTGTTAGACTACTGTTGGCGAGCTTTCTACTGGCTGCGCCCAATATTTGATATACATACATATGTATGTACTTCTTTAGCTGCCTTTATAACTTGCATTGATTTTGGTGTAGAGAGAGGCAGTAATAGTGAGCGAGAGACACACTCGAAAATATTAAATGACTTAATCTCAAGTCTTATGGGGCCACTATTGTTTCAATGAGTATGCTGACGAGTTGGCTTTTTGAGTTTTACTTCTCAACAAATTCTGCGAATCAGATAACACATTTTAATGCGTTCCCAACCCTAATATCTCACCCTGGGAAAGAGTTCTAAAACCAGCTAAGCAGATTCGGTTGACAATAGGTTATATGCCAAAATTTAACCAAGAAACTGTTATTCTGGTGTCTTCAGTAGAAATACTAGAGGCCCAGCACATTTGTTAATAGAAAATATTAAGATCCTTGGTCTTATTGATTATTATATAATAAAACGTCAATTTTATTCGTTAGAAAGAGTCAATAAAGGCGATTAGGTTAGGTTTTATCATCCTTACTTTTACCGAATGAGGTCACCAGAAGTAAATGATTCTTGCTAGTTTGTGTCAACATCCCTGCATAGCAAAGTTTTTGAACGGTATAAACTATTTTGTGGTAAATATTTATATACTTTTATCTTGATGATGATATTTCAGAAGCATACCTTCGTTTTCGGTAATTTCGAAATATAGGTGTCAATATGTATGTAAAGATGTATGCCAGAGGTATAGACAAGCTAAATACTACCAAGAAGAGAATCTTCTGCATGCAAATAGATCTGTACTTACACGCTTACGTAAACATACAAAGGTGTTTCAGTGCATATTACCACAGCGCAGCACCAAATCCCAGCTAAGCTGTTTGTTTACAAATAATCTGCGGCTCTCTTTAGCTACTACATTCCGCTCATCCGTTAATTTGATATTTTCTCAGCGCCTATTTCCCTTATATATCCTTTCGCATGCACTTGTCTCGCTGTCTTCGGTCGATGCACTCGCACACACACACACACACCGATGCAGTTTTGTGTACTCACCGTTGAGGGTGGGCATAGCGGAGGAGCAACTCGGGGTTTTTTACCTTTCTGGTTTCCATGCAGCCTCTTGTGGATTCCCACAGTGTGAAATACGGTTTTTGCAATTCGGTTTCTTCTCTACTTTTTGTACTTCCTTTCGCTTGCATATTGCTTTCAACACAATTATTGTCTTCTTCGGCTTGAGCCTCTGGGATATGTGGTGGTTCCTTGCTGCTCGCCGTTTTGCATTTGCATTGTTCGTTTTGCTGTGCAATTTGTTGTTGCACCGGAAGGAAATTTCATGCGGTTTCACTGGGAAACGCATATTGTTTCGGTTGCGGAACTGTTTTTTGCTGTTGCTTCCCATAGGGTCCCATAAAGGGTATTTGTTTGATTAGATAAATGTGACAATTTACCTTTTGCCTAAAGAAGATGCAGGGAACAGGTTCAATTGTTGATTGTGTGGGAGTTAAGGTACACTTTTGTGAATTCTTTGAATCAGTTCAAGGTGAGATGTTACGGAAGATTTTACACCGAATGAGTAGAGGGTGTGGGAAATAATGATTTGTTGATAATGCAATCAGGAAAAACCAATTGTTGCATTTTACATTAACATTACTAGTCCTTAAAAACTATGTTTGTGTGATCAATATTTTCATAGTTCTAAAATATTCTAAAATAAATACTTTTAAAAGCGCATTATGCCAACATTTTCAACACAATGGAAAAATATGATGTTGTTTGTTTATTGACTGTAAGGCATGCCATCTTAATGCTCACTTCATACCGGTACACCTGGTAGATAGAATCATTTGATCAAAATGAAAATTATGAAAAGTTAAAATAAACGAAAGGTCTCGCAGTGGTTCAAAAAAGTATGGACTTGTAAATAATAAATCCTTATCTGCGAATGTAATTCTAGTGAAAGTTGTAGCAAAAGGTCAAAGCTACATCTATCAAGCTTTCATAATACATACTACATTGAAAGCTCGTGCATATTTCAAAAGCTTTGGGCAGTGCTAAGCCGAATGATTTAGTGATTTTAGAGGAAGCATTAGAGCAATATGTGTATGAATGTTGTAGTCGGTGAAAGGATGTGAACAAATTAATTCTCTCCTTATAAACTAAAACTTTCTTCTTATGAATGATTTTGCTGCGTAGTTACTTTTATACATAAATACATGAAAATATTTTAATATAATACATTTTGTAGTAATAACAAAAATGTATGCAAATGTTGAGAAAATTAAGAAAGGATGTTAATAATGACTTGTAATGGGTCAGTGGAGCTCCCAGGCATTTCAATAGCTATGTAAATACTTAAAAATGTATAAATAATGTGAGATAATGTTAGAAAATTGTAATTGGAAACGCATAGATGAAAGTGAAGACACTTGAGTCACTACGCTCAAGGACAGCAAAACATGGCTCACCACTTACGGTACTCCTAAGCAGGTAGTGGTCATATAAACTAGGCGGAATTCAAGTACTTTTGTGACTATAAGTATGTAAATATATGTAAGGATCAAATTGTACATATATTGTTGCCTTACATTTTTTGTTTGGTGGCACAGCGTTAATTGGATTTGCTGTGATTTGGAATTCCACGCTGCGCGAGTTGCATAAGGAAAGATAAATCGACGTATTCTACCACACATGACTTACAACTTCTTCTTCTGGCGGGTTAATTTTTTTATCGTGTTTTTATTTGTTATTTTAATAAGAAAAAGGACATGCATTTATCTCACGCCGTTGATTGCTGGACAAAAAGGATCTGTTGCATGAACTTGTTTGTTGTATTACAACAAAGTATGCATTTGTTGTTGCATCCATAAACGGATACACAATATATTTTCTAGGCATTTGCACGGAAGAAAGGGCCGTAATCACCACGAACGCCTTGTATAGGACCTCCCTTACCTTGGGCAATACGTTTGTAATGCATTGCTTTGAATGTCAGCGCAAAGCGAAACAGGAGAACACACAAGCGAGCTCACCTGCATCGCTATTGCAGCACGACAGGTACATATTTATTTTGATATGCCTTATAATACCACTTCATTTCTGAGTGGCGGCGCAGGAACCTGCAATTATTGATAGACAAACTCTCTCACCCTCCTACTTGAATCGGTTTCTTCCTTTCTTCCTTCCTCGATCCCCTTTTGCATTCGTTTGTTTCATTGAGCAGGCAGCAATGCGCCGTTATGTTCGAGTGCGGCTTCTTGCGTGTTGTTGGACTCTTCTGTTCCGGTTTCTTGATTTCTCCACTATATCGAATAGACTGGCCTTTTCACAACCATTTATGACGCGATAGACGCACAGACATACATGGTGATTGTTGTTGCTGCCACTTCCGGTTTGCGAGCGATTTGCGTCTGTTGCGTTTTGATCGCCGCATGACATTGAAGGGATTGTGTCTCAAGCGTTTTCTCTTTTACTTTTCTAAAGAATTAATTATAAATTCTGATTTGTTGAATTTTGAATTTGAACATCTGTTTAATGGTGGAAACACACATGTACATATGTATGTGTGAAAAGGAGAGTATTCTTGCAAGTTTTTCAGGTTATTGATAGTGTCGTAAAACTTATTTGTCACACTGGGTCTTTTTGCGTTGAGCGAGGGTTCTACTCTTGCCCGCTCATCCAAAAGTAGCACTTGTTCGCCAAATTGATTCTACGACGAATTTCAGTGCAATTTTCCGAAAAAATTTACAAAAATTTTAAGGTTATGACTGCCAACAGAGACGTGTGAGGCAAGATACGAATGCGAGTTGTTCTGCCAGAGAGCTCGTTTGGAACCAAACGACTCCAAGAGTTTGTTACTAATTCCATTGAGGTTTGTGGTGTTTCGAAAGGTAATTTTGAACAGTCATGTAAGCCAAACTCAGTTTCTATAAACCTTTTTTTTAGCTGACTGGAAGATGATTTGGTGTCCAAGAAATGTGTTTGATAAGTCTTGTTTCTATTTTTTGGCTAATTCTCCATTTCTTTCAGCCGTTGCACGTGAAGTGGGATGTATCTAAAAAGGAAGCATTCCATGGCAGTAGAATCCAATAGTGAGTTCCGACAAATAAGCTGTTGCTTGGTGAGAAAAGGACGAGTACAAAATTTTAGATAGATAACTCAAACAGTGATGGACTAGTTGGCGTATATACAGGCTGATGGATATGGCTAAATCGACTCAGCTCGTCATACACACTATACACTTAATAGAGTATCCGAGGATTCCTTCTGCGAGTTACATACTTCGTGACAAACTATAAATACCCTGTTTAGAGCATAAAATCAGAGAATTTAAAGGAAAGAATCGCTTAACAATTTAGCGCCATCTGCTGGTGAATAGCGGTGAGATTGCATTAGGAAACCTGCAACTGAAACTTTTCACACAATCAGTTTGTGCGCCACTGTACTGATGGTAATTAGCGATTACTCAAACCGGTGAGGTTGTAAAAACCAGAGGTGTAGGGTGAAATTATAGTTTGAGAGGCGCTGTTAATGTAAAATGTAAATATAAGTGATGCCCAAAGTGTGTTATATAAGTTCTTGTTTATAAACCAATTTATTTATTAAAATTTAAGCAAGTTTTTTTTGATAAAGTTTTCAATTATTGTTGGCATAGAGGTCAACTCCTTGCTCGCATATTTGCATTACATACTCAACTTCCGAGATGTGGCATCTGCTTACACACAACTGTGTGCAGACACAATTGTTGTGTTGGCTTCGTTTTAATTCTTTATTATCTTTTAATTTTTATTCGACTTTCGTATATTAGCTGCGGCTTTGGTGTATCCACTTTGAGTTATTTTTCCGCTTTGTCGCTGCACTTTTTGCTTTTATTCCTTTCTTAACGAGTGAGCCGCCTGTGGCGAGCTGACAATGATGAGTCGGGTGACGTCTCACCCTAGCTGGGCTGGTTCGACTGTGATGTAACATGTCGCGCGCTTTCAGTTTGCCGTCTGTTAGTGTTAGTTATTGTCCTTTAGTGACTCTTTACGACAAAACACACGCCGAGGAGTAGGAAATTAAAAATGGCCGAAATGAAGTTACAATTTTTTATGATTTTCTACACGCGAAAAAAGTAAGCACTACAACAACACATATGCAGATGACTAAAGCGTAAGTAAGCAAAGCAAAAAGTAATAAAACAAACATGAAAACACAATAAAACGTATTCAAACAAGTAAGGAAGGCTAAGTGCCGTTGCCGCTGAATATTTAAATTGTCACAATTCGCAAGAATAAAAGCGTGAAAATGTTTTCGGGTATCAACAAAACTATATAGTTCATTCGTTATTAAAGAAAATTGTGAATCGATTACAATCAACAAGAAGAATGGAAATCGATACCGTTTCCACGACAGTCGGGTCTAAGTAACCGGACCCGGATTTTTATTCGGCCAAGGACTGTCGACTCGGCACCATTCTTCGAAATTACTACAGGAATGTTTTCTGCCGTTACAACAACAACAACAACAATAACATGGAAATTGATGTATTGGTGCTCTCAGTTGACCTCGCTTTCATGGACAGATGGGCGTACGGACAGTGGGACGGAAAGACATATATGAAGAATGCAATTGGTGTCGTAGTCCCAATCGTTTTTATGTAAAGATTATTATGTTATATGTTACAGAAAACCGTTAGGTGCATGAAACCCTGTGAAACATGCTGCGAGGGTATAAAAATGCAAAATGAAATAAAGAAATAAATTGCGAAAATAAATAGAAGAAACTAATTTGGCTTTGAAGGACAGTGCTGCAAGCTTACCATATGTATGTGTGTGTGTGTTTGAGTGAGCGAAAAGCCAATGTTTGGTACTTAGTGCAGGAGCAAGCATTATGAGAAAAAAGCTGTGGACAATATCCAATTAAGAAAAATAACAATGGGAGTGGGTATTCATCTAAGTTAGCATTTTAATTTGCGCAGCTAAATATTTTTAACGTAAATGTAGTAAACTAAAACAAATAACTGTACATTTTTGGTTTGTTTAAATTTCATAACTCTTGTTGCAAAGAAATTAAATTGTGAGGCAAACACTGTGTTTGTTCCTAAATAATTAACCAAATCATTTACTCATCTAACCTCGTCAACCTATGAATTGAGAACTCTAACTGTTTCAAGTTGACAACAAAAAACACTTAATAATGAAATCGAAAGTTTTTTCTAAAGATTTTCAATTTAAATTTCTCATTTCGTAATCGATCAGCCTTGACTCTTTGCCACAGCGCTTGCTGCAGGTCAATTGCATCACTTTCGTTGAACACCGTTAAGTGCGAAATGACAAAGCGCCGCAATAACGAGCACAAAAACGCCTGGAAGATAAATCAAAGCGTAAAAATAAAAATAATTACGCCCCGATTGAAAAGTATTTGCAGTAAAATCATTGCGGAACAAGGCTTAGTCTAAAGTACGGCAAAATCATGCCTGGGCAAGCCTACATCTGTAACAAGTGTGCTTATGTACATACATATGTATATATCCGCATAGTAGCGGATCTGCGTATTTTCCACGAATTTGTGTGGATTTTAACCCTAGCTAAGCCCTTTCCCCGTGTGTTTTTCATATTTTCAACGTTTTTCTTTGAAACCAAACACCAATTTGCGAATTTCACATTCCCACTATGAAATTTTCAAATACATACATACACATGCATATACATCATGTTATCTAAAATATATATATATATAGACATATTTTTCAAATTATTGCGTGAATTGTGATTTGAAACCAGAAAAATGAACTTTCAAGTGCTGAAAGCGAAAGTCAAGCCCCTAAAATATCTGACTTCGCAAAAACACCAACGAACACTTCGTGCATACCATATAATCAGCAATTTCTCGAAACCTTTCAATTATAAACGATACGATATGACGCATTACTTAGCTGAAGAACTCTCTTGCACTTTCTTTGCCAAGATCCAGGCGGCGCACTCTAAGTTAAACGAGTATGTACGTATTACTTAGCTGAAGAATTCTCTTTGGGTCAATCGTACATTGACTCTTACCAACGACAACAAGCACGCGCCGCTTGAAACAGGTTGTGATCGTAGTTACCTCGTGGCCTTTGGCCAAATGCGTACGAAGAAATATGCAATTATCGGTGGCGCAGCTTCCGTGCCGACAACGCGTATGACCCGCTTTTACATTTGTTTTTTCGTCTACCTACCAAAGCCGTCGCCAAATGTGGGCGTTCTCTTGAAAGTCATCGCGCCGGTGCAAAGAATGAAAGAGAAAGCAAGTAGCTGTGCAAAAGATAAAACGAAAATCTAAGTGATTGCACGAAGACAGTGAGAATTCAAATAAGTGCCCGAAGACATCAACATCAGCTGATCGTGCGGTTGGGCTCAGGGTAGCCACAAACTTGCGGTCTTGGTGGAAAAAAATTAATAAAGAGTCGGCTGTCGGACCATGACGCTAACCGCAAATATATTTTGAACTTCTTTCACTATCAGCTTAAATAGATATATCCAAAACTATTGTTGGATTTTTGTGCTGTTTTGAAAACGCAGAGAGAGGCGTAAGTGGAAATATACTTTTTTCTACTGTTGTACCTTACTTCGGCTGGCATTCGTTACTTCATTTATAATAAATAGCCAAAAATATTGCAAAAAAAATATTTATTGCCATTGGGTATTTTTTTTCTCACAGCTGGCAACTCTTTCCACCTAAACTCTGCTATTGAGCATAATGACTGGCGGTTTGTGTTAGAAATTTAGAGAAATTATGATCAAAAAGAAGGAGTTTCAAATTTATTGATTGCCATGTTAAGCTCAACGCATGCGCGATGGCTATGTTCAGTTGCTGCAGATCAATCGTGCGTGTTAGATGTCTTTCAATTGGAAAAATAAATAAAATAAATTAAGAAATTCTGGAAAGTTTTGTTGTAAATTTCAAAATGTCTTCTAGATACAAATTTGGTTTCGGTATAATTTATTTTGTGAATATAATTGTTGCAGCGTTCGGTTTATTTGAACAGTGCAACCATACTCTAGACTTAAAGGCTGGCCATAAGATATTTATAAACTCACCTTTCTATCCAAACACATATCCGGCTGGCACTTCCTGTCGTTATACGCTCAGGGCGCCAACGGATTACCAATTGAACTTCAAGTGCGACATCGATATAAATATGGTAGGAAAAATGCATGAATCAAATAGTTTTAAATATTAAGTGAGAAGTGAACAAGTGTGAGAAATCGTAGATAGTTAGCAACAAGCTGCTATGTTCGCTGAGGAATTGACAAAAGGAGAATTTGTGGCTTTGAAAGCTAGGCTTTGGCTTTGAGTACGGTTCTCCATTATGTTCGAGGCAACAATTCTTTAAATTACTTGAAAGTTTGGCATACCGATATTTATTTCTAGCAGGCGCTGCGGCTGACGCGCCTCATGCGCTTGTGTAAGGAGAGCATTTTAAAATATAATTTTTTACTTAAAAAATTGAAATTTTTAAACCAAAAATTTAAGAGGCTCGTTGCGAACAATAAAAGAGAAATATTTACTCCAATTCTCTCAACTGTACGCTCAATTAGTTCCTGCAATTTTTTTATTCGAATTTGTACTTTAAGCTTTTCAATGTTGACTGCTGTAGAAAAAAATAATTTAATGCCAGTCAGCGGAGAATGTAATGCTCAGCCAAATCCGTCGTGCCACCCGTGTAGGTTTCCCCCCTAGCGGTACTTTCCACTTGTCAGAGTAAGTCAATGCTTCGAGTGCCATAAGCTCACTACGTTGACGGCTCGTGCACATTAACTATGAAAAAGTGAATTTTTTCCAAATTTTGAGGATGCCACGCTCTTAAGCAGCAAGTTAAATATTTTTATAAAACTTTATTTACTTCTATAAAAACGAATTTTTTCGACACACATTCACACACTTTTCACTCGCCACTTTTTTGCTACTCTCTGCTTTCGCCTGGTTTATTTTCGCTTGTTTGCATAGACATACGCTGCGTCCACCGCTCAGTTGAGTGAGCGTTGTTATGATGAGATTTTCTACTTCAACCGTGAAGGAAGCGAACTTTTATCCGGTTCGGAGTATTTTTGTGGCCGCGGCAGTATGACAAGGAGGAGCTTTCTCAACCGCGCTGTGATTTCATATATTTCCACGCGTCCGCTGCTCAGGCTGATGGGTATCGGTGTGAAAGGTGTCACAATTGCTGGAGTACAGACGGCCGTAACGCCAACAACAGCAACCACTGCGGGAGCAGCAGCAGTCGGTGCATTGAACAGTACAGCAGCAACACTGAATTTGTTCAATCCATCGAATGTACAGAAAAATCAAAACAAAAACAAGAATAAGAACAAGAATAAAAAGAAAAGGCCAAATGGCACTAATGTCATTAGGAATCATGGCTTAACCACAACAATCCGCCCATCAGTGTCGGCTGGTATTAACAACGCCTTCGCCTATTTGGCTACGCTGCTCTCCAGCAGCATAGAGACGAGCGTTTTTATAGCGCCATCCACGCAAACAATCCACACAAATGCGAAACGCAAAAATCACCGACGAAGGGCGACGAAGCCAACACAGAAAGTTGTCACAACAGCGGCCGACTCAGATCTGTTGTACTTCTCTCCACATCCACTGTATAACTTTGGCGGCCGAAACGGCTCTAATCCATTGCCGGTCGCTACCACTACAGAGCAAATATCAGAAGACTTCTTCAGGGCCTATCAGTTGAACCCGAAGCGCGAGTCTTTGGAAGAACGTGACTACCGCATTTTATCAAATTCACCAAATTATAATGGCTATGCGGATGGTGCAGGAAATGGGCGCTTCTCCTGTTTGGTGGAAGCGGTTGAGTCACAGTGCGACTGTGGCTGGAGCACACATACGCTGAAGGTGGTCAGCGCGTCTGGTGTAGCTGGCCTTAATGAGTACTCCTCCATGGCCGGTGTATTAACGGTGAATTATGGCAAGATTTTCTGTGGCGCGGTGATAAGTGAGTATTTCTTCCGAGTCTCGCTTAATGATTTTTATAAAATGTTGGATCTACTCAAATAGTTCATCACCGGTTTTTGCTGTCCGCCGCCCATTGTTTTATATCTGCTGCCACAAGTCGATCGGATTTGATACAGGTGGTTGTCGGCGAACACGATTTCTCAACAGGTAAACTAACTTGTGTTATTTTTCAATGAAACATTCCTGCATTACAAACAATTTCTTCAACTGTTTTTCAGTGCTTGAATCGGCTTACACGCAATACTACAAAATTGACACGATTATACTACACGAACACTTCCGCGCCACTGCCGAACTTGTGCGCAATGATATCGCACTGTTGCGCACAAGTAAAACGATCGAGTGGAACCGGGGCGTAGCGCCGGCATGTCTGCCCTTTCGTTCTATCAGCGGCACATATGGTGAGCGCAAGCCACCTATAGCAGGGCAGCGCGTGGAGACTGCAGGTTGGGGCAGCATTTCATTTGGTGGTCCGCAATCTTCGCTGCTGCTCGCCGCCCGACTGGATGTCATTAGCGCTGAGGAGTGTCGTAGATCATTGGGCGCTCTTCCAGCTGCCACTTTCTGCACCTACACACCGGGTAGGGATACTTGTCAGTATGACTCAGGTGGTGGGCTTTATTTGCGCGAGGGGGGACGCCTCTTTGTGGTGGGTATTGTGAGTTATGGATATGGTTGCGCAGCGCGGCAGCCTTCGGTGAATACGAAAGTGGCCTCTCATATTCGTTGGATTAAGGATAATACCGCGCCGGTGACATATTGCGTCAGATAGGCGGCAATATCGCGAATATTATATTGTTTATTCATAATTATAAATACAGCCATGATTTATTGAAAATAAACGTAATTTAAATGCAGTAATTTATAAGTATCGCAAGCGATGTGCCTTTAGTACCAACATGACAGAGTACGCCTAAGTATATGCTATAGCTCTTTACTTGTTTTTCACATTTTTAATTATATCATATATATATAAAGTATATAAAGGCAAAAGCACTTCGTAGTTAAGCACATGAGCACTTAAGAATCTGCTTTTCAGTACCCAATCAGCGTTTTCCTGCAGTCATTTTGACGCACAATAGCTACTCCATGGAGATAGGTGTAATTTTTAACACTTACGCCTGAAAGAAAATCAATCGAAGACATTTAACGCTTCAAAACATTGGACAAATAAAAAATTTCTCATTCCACTTTCTCACTTAGCACCGCCAGCTGCTCAATCCTAGCTGATTGTACTCAGTTGCTCATTTAAACGGAAGTGTTTACTAATTAGCGCCTGTGCCTATGCAATACAACTTGGGGGCATGATTACATGTATTTTGCGGCTGCAATCGACGGGACTGACAGATTCCAATTAAATATTTTATTACGAAACCCACACACTCTCACACAACTCATCACTGCGAGGTTAAGCGCTGAGTGGAGACGGCTGGGGTGCTTCAATACCAATTTTGATATGTCAATATCAACACTCATGTAGGCAATTTTTTCCGTGCTAAATTTGTGACGCGTTGTGCCTCTTCTTTGGTATGCGCATTCGATATTTCACTTTGTCGATTTCTTTTCAAACACTGTTAAATAATTAAAACGCTAACGCATAACATATGAAGCATGCTTTTAGGCTTAGCGAGTGAAGAATGCATTCGAACAGGCTTTCGGCGTGTGAGTGTGCAAGATGACGAATTGTGAGTGAAGCGTTAGAGTAGCGGGTTGTACTTGTACTTTGTGTTTGGCAAGCTTGTGCAGCCTGAGTTTGCATGAATGCGTTCACATTTGCTCTTTTTAATATGAAAAGTGATTCGTATTTAATAAAAATACTCAATCTAATATCAAGTGACGTGGGCTGTGGAAAGGAGCTGGCGCACAGATGCCTAACGATAAAGTCCTAAGCTTAGAGTGAGGTGGCATGAGGAAGCATTGAGTTTGTTGTGAACAATTTTTGCTAAAGACGGAGCTTTTTTAGGCGCTTTCAGGCTATTTATTTAACCAATAACTGATTGTGAAATAAAACGGGTTTCTTTAGGTTTAAATAGTAAAGTAATGGAGCTTTACCAATTATCCACGAGCCACTTTAGCCAATAACCGCGCTCTTTTCGAGCGATCTTTTGATTAGAAAATCGTTCCCAAGGCGCCGTGGTGGCATGGCGTGGTGGAATATTGCGCACTAATTGCAAAACAACCGCGCTTCAAGTGCACACCACCACCAACAAAAGCAAACATGAATGTGTCTGCAGCATATTGCAGTTTCCAATTATTAAGGAAAGCGTAAAACGAGGAGCTCAAACAGCGCCTAAATGCATGCAACAAATTTGTGCATTGCCTTTTTATGTATGTGGCAACGCGTATGCATTTACATGCTTGCATTAAGGCAGCCAGCAGCAGGCTGCGCGCCAACCAGTTCCATGGGAAATGCGCAGCCAAGTGGCGTGCGGTCTGAGTGCGCTTAGTTGCGCTTTCTAAGCATTAATTTGGCGTTTTAGTTGCGCTTTTGTTAGTTGGATTTAGTGGTTTTTGTTTTTTGTTGCCTACATGTGTGACGCCTAAATATATGCTTTCAATAGCGGTATTTTTATTTAGCTCATTTCTTCGTTAGGCGCTGAGCATCGTTCGGCAGGTATTTGCCTAATTCTTTTTCATTCTAATTTTCGTTAGATTTCGCAGCTGGCTTTTATATTTTTTTACTTGCAAAGGATTTTTATATAACGCTTTTGCGCCTAAATGCATGTAAAGTATGCCAACTAACGCTTGCCTATTCATTAGCGTTGCCACAGTGCAACACAAAACCAATTTAGTATGCCACACACACACACACACACACGGTCATACACTCACATATGCCAGGGTGCATCTCAGTGTGTGTGTGTGTGTGCGTGCATGCAACGTGATTGCGAAAAACGACGAATGCGAAATTATCGTAAAAATACTAAGTGCAGTTACACTCGCTCGCACATGACTAAGTAAAGAGTGCGCTCGCATTGATGCAGATGAGCTTTGGCGGTGGCGCAGAAATTAGAAACGAAATTGGATTGGTGGCTTGCTGTGGAACTCATCGTTGGTCCCGTTGATTGGTAGCGTGTGTGAGGGAGGCCTACTGCAGTCGCTTTGCCGTTTCACAGCCAAACCGTTGGTTATATGAAACTATGGCCTATGCGCCCAACGGCTCAGCCAGATAGTCAAGGTAAAAAATCGTTGTCTCTACTCCAAATTGCTTTAAAAATATCCGAGAAATTTGAACTAATTCGTTAAAAAGCGAAGTCTTTAATTCTGTTGAACGACGTTTGAATGAGAGCCCTCCAAATTTTGTTGTTTCAAATATATTCTGATATTTTATATAAAAATGGTGTTCGAGGCTTTTCGGTTTACGCTTTTCTTTTGAAAACGCTTCTCTGTATTTATTTAATAGCTTCGTAGGGGTTTTAAGCTTTGACTTTTAAAGTATATCTTCTTTTCCCATGCATGAGCTTTACTACCATATAATCTTTCCAATGACAAACGCAAGAAACGCGGTTTACGATACCAAGAAAGTTTATAAGAAATATTCATGCTTGTGCTGACTAATCGTTGCAAGAGATAACCATAATCTCGGCCCATTTTACAAGTTAAAGTCCTGGTCGGTTGAATTTTTATGCATTTCCAAAGCTTCTATGGATATTGCTCTGACAGCGGCGATATTTTCGATACATCGTGTTGATCGTCCAGTAATTAAATAGCTTCTGGTCGCCACACATTGTAGTAGTATAGAAAAGCTGTGGCAGCTTCTAATCAGTTAAGGCCTAAATATTTTGACAGAGCTGTCAAATATTCAACAAAATTAAATAAAATATTTAAATATTAGCTCTGAAACCGTGTAGCCGCAGTTTCAAACCAAACTCTCCACGTCCTTTTCCCAACTTAATTAGGCACTTGCCTATTAACCCTCCCATGACAGCATAATTAACACTTGACAACAACTTGGCAGCGACTGCAGCATTCGACATCAAAGGTTAAAGAGCAAAACAACTAATTGCCACTTAAATTGCGACGGCGAGGTGAAAGCCATTTAAGGACCTGACCACTTTTACTTTAGCTTGAACGTGAACTTGAAATCTCACGCAAATAATTTAGCAACAATTAAGCGGCAAATTTGTACGGAAAATATAGTAATTATGTAAATGACAAAGAAAAAATATGAAAAATTAAAAAGTATAATAAAATGTAGAGAGCACTTGCACTAATTCGCGCGCGGGACATCAAAGCGTATACGTAACATAAATGTGTGTATGCGTGTGCAAGTATTTGCGATTGTAGTGGTTAGTGGTCGTGCTGAAAGCGAACGATTTGCAAAAGTGCAGTTTAATTGCGGGTGAAGTTGTAACTCTGTAACAGCCAAGTAAGAGATGAAGCAGCTCATAATAACAATAACAACAACTGAAAAAAAAAATTATGTTGAAACACTAAAAATTATTTGAAGCACAAAGCAGCAAGCACACGGACTAACCGTTAACACATTTATGCAGCAACAACAATAGAAGCACACACATACACACACGCTGCGCTGTCACTAATGAAGAAAGTCAGTAAGCATGGACGACTAACAATAGCATAATTAAAATAACAAAAATTAACTTAGCAGCCGAGAACGCAATGAGAAATGGCGCCTCCGCACATAATGCTCGTTAAAAATGTTGTAGTTGTGATTGTTTGCTAGTTAATTGCATAGAAGCACTAAAGGATCAACAGACAAGCGTCGGCCAGGGCCTGGAAAAAATGCAAGGCAGCTGTGCATAAAGCGGCATGCAGCGGAAGGGGTATGGCTGACCAAACGCCACTGCTTGTTTTCATATTTATTTTTGTTGTACTTGTATTTTTATTATTTTTGTGTGCTTTTATTTAATAACGAAAAAATGCAAATATAAATAAAAACGAATTTGCAGAGCGCACGTGAAACGGGGTCAGCGGCGGGGCCACAGCGGCAGCGTAGGGCTGAGGCATTGAAGTGGGCACGGCTGGCTAATGGCGTGCGGCTGGCGGTAGTCGGTGTCGGTGTGGTTGTGTTGTTGTTGGTGGTGTGGTTGTGTGCCACTTCAATTTTGCTGCCACTCGGCGTAGCGCAGGCAGAGCGCCACAGAACTCTAGGCACTGGGTAGCCCACTTGAATTAACCCTTTTTTGTTCTTCTGCCTTCTGCCATTTGCATTCTGCCTTTTGCCATCGCCGTTTCGTTTCTTTGTTCGTACTTTCCACATTACCACTTTTTTTGTTGTTGCTTCATTATTGCTGTTGTTGCTGTTGCAGTGATTGCGGATGCGGCGCTGCATCGTGGCTGTGTGTGTACGCGTTTCTTAACGTTTTTTCTATGTGGCACTTTTTTTCTTTAGCCACTTTCGCGTGAAGTGACTATGTTGCAACATTGTTGGGCGTCCTTTAAATACAACTTTGCTTTGTTTTGGTGTTTTTTTTTTTTGTTTTTTGCTTTGTATGCTGGCAATCTGAGTGATGTGGATGTTGCTGCTGACGCTGATGCAGATGCCGAGCTTTGAGGAAGTGCTCGCCGGTTCGGCTGAAGCAGCGAGTGGCTGACTGGCGCTTGCGTTTGTGTGCTTGCAGCGGGCGAGCGAGCGACTGTCGGGCAGTCAAGTGTCCTTTTTATTATATATTTTTATATTATTGCACTTAGATGTTGTTACTTGTTTGCCTTTGCTTTAGCTTTTGTTCTTGCTTTGCCCTAGTACGGCGACACAAATGAAGTTAAGCGCTTTGTGTGTCAGCGTGAGGCATGGCATCAGCTTTGTCAGCGTTGGTGGAGCCGCGCAGGTAGTACGTTGACAATAACAATTATGAAGAATTACTTAAGTGCACTCGACCACATTTGTTCGTAATAATAATAACAAGTGGAAGCGACACAGAACTGCATTACAATCGAGCGGCTAGTAAAGAGTGTCGTAGGGCAAGCTGAGAAGAGCAGAAGCAGGCGAGAGAAAGGTTATAAGAGTATTAGTAATCAAAGGATGAAAAAAGAAAAAATACTGAAAATAAAACCTTAATATGTAGCATTTAAATTTTTTTGGTTCAACGTGTCCGGATCGCATTACTAGTGGCATGAGCTCATCCTTTTGGACCAAAGTCTACACTATAGCAAAACAAACAAACAGCTTGCTGGCCTTCCTTCTCGTCTTACGCGCCCTTTGATTCATTTGGAAAATACCACAATATATTTCTATTCTGATTTCTTTCTAAGTAGTTTTGTAAATATAACCTCAAAACCCAATTAACTTCAAGCAGAACTTTTGCTGGCAGTTTATGTAATGCTTTTTTCGCTTTTCCAGTCTGCTGCATATAAAAAATGTATTGCTTTCTAGAATCTTACCAAACTGATCTGTTCATCTGATGAGACTTTAAGATGCTTAGGAGCGTTTGAGACCACTGAAAAATTATTTAGATGTATCTGAACAGTGTTTAAACTCAGCTAAGTGGTACAGCCTTGAGCTGCTCCATGTATGCTTAGTACGAGTATATGCATTTTCATAAAGTTTCACTTCATAACTGATAACATTTTCGCATTATGATATTTACGGTTAGAATATATACACAGTTCTACCCACATCCTTGAATTACTCACATTGAATTTTCAGCCGCAGTCTTTAAAACAAGACGAGAGGCCTAACTTTCCACAGCAAGCAGCGAATGTGTATGCTGTTTTTGCAAAGTGAGTGCTTTAATGGTGATTTTCCATAAACTATAAAACAGTTGTGGCTGAAATGTAGAACAGCGCGTGTGGTGGCGGCAAGAAAGAGGCCATTTTAATTTAAATGCAAATTAAGTCTTTTGTCATCGTAATCATCTACCAGAACAACTGCAGTAAGGAGTCTCCGAATAGCCAATAACTATTACATGTAGATATGAGAAGCTTTCATTCACAGAGACATTTATATACTTATGTTATATGTATATGCATTTGTGTGGCTTTATAGCGATAAAATTTAGTAAAATTCGTCAATTCCTTACATAACTTTCCACACATTTAGAACAAGCAAAATAATAACTTTTAACCATGCCCTCATGTTGCGTGATGTCAGCTTTGGCAAATGAGCTAAAATATTATTTGTAAGTCAACGAGAAGCAAAACCGGATCTATACCCGAATGAAACTCAAGCATGATATCTGACATATGTTATAAATATTTTTAATATTCCAGGTGCTCCAGAACCAATATTCGTGTTCATAAACCTAAGGCACACACACACCGCCAACATTTTGCAAATAATTCCAGATCCAACGTAGATACGAAGTGATCCGTGTATTCACGCCAACCGCATAGCGTGAACCGCACGTGCCACCATAACTGATAACTCCGAGCGCATACATGCGCGACGGTTGAGAGAGCTGTTGCTGTTGCCGAAGTATGACCGGACCGCCGGAGTCATATTGGCAGGAGTCCTGCCCCAAACCACGATAATCGTGCGTGCAAATGTGTGCGGCGGTGATGGTGGTGTTGAACTGGCTTTCGCAGGCGCTATTTTCGACAGTCATAAGCTCGACTTTTTGCAGCGTGTTCGACTTGGGACCGGCGAATGAAGTTGTGCCCCAGCCGGTCACATCTACAGTGCGGTAGGTGAATAAATCAGAGCTGAAATTGGCACAATATTAGTTAGGACACGGACTATATTACACAAGCAAATGTATCAACAAACGATTGTAGTAATGGCAGGCAGATAGGTCCAACACCACGTGACCATTCGATGCGTGCTATCGTGATAAGTAAAGCTATATCGTTGACAACACTATTAGCTGTCGAGGCATAATTCGGATGTATGACAATCTGCTGGATGCGATGTTGCACAGCAAAAATAGATTCGGTGTCTAAATATGGATGAAAAAAAGGTATTGGTTGTGAGTTTATAAATATGTTCGAAATTTAAATAGTAAAAGTAATGCGACACAAAAGCAAAAAAATAGGGTAAGTTTAAGGAGACTCTGTCGCTTCCTCTCGCTATTACTCAAAGATCCAAATCTACGTTGCTGCTATACTTTACTCACTGCTGCTTAGGTCGTGATCTCCTACATAGGCGATGATCCTTCGTGGATCGGGCTGTACGTTTATACAGTGCGCCGCCGTTATAATGTGGCGATTACTAACTAAAAATTAAAATGCTTTTGAGCATCAAGCCTTTCAAATACATGTCAATGAACTACATACCTATACTGCCACCGCAGAAGATCTGTTGAGAGGAGCCGATATCTCGCAAAGCCACCATCGAAGGATATTCGTGTTTGGTTGCTTCCCGTCCGTTAGCGATGCGAGTCTGTGTGGTCCAGCCACAATTGCAAGGTTGTTGCTGTGCATATGCCTGACAGAAGAAACGACCCTGCTGATTGGTACTCGGTGAAGACGAGTAATAACCCACGGTCATAGGACGAAAATACGAATTGCGCATTATATTTGTATTGGTGCAAAACGTCTCACCCTCACGGAAGTCCAAATCACCATCACGTGATATATAAAAGTACTCCGTGCCACATGCGTTTGGGTACTAGGTTTTGTAGTTTTGAAGAAGTTTGAAATTTTTAAAATTGAGTGCGTGGGAAGAAATCGGCTCAAGGAGCACTTACCACATCGAAGATGCAGTTCAGCACAACCACATGCGCATAAGGCGCAATTAAACGAAATCTGCAATTCGTGCCTGGTCTGTAAGCGCGTGGATAATTCGGCGAAGTTATATTGAACACCTGCTGATTGGAAGGCAGATAATAGTCTTGCGTGATGCAACTCATTTGTGTTTTGACGGTAGCCAGCTGAGCCACCAGGGCAAACACTGCGAGTACAAAATGATGCAAATTAACTGATCCTAGAGAAAATTCCAACGCCACCATCTCAAGACTTGTTGCACACGACGACTATACCGAAAGTGTCAACGTCTATTAGCTGTAGCAAGCATTTCTCCAAAAAAAACTTTCATTTACCCCAATTTAGTGATTTATCTTGAGGTTCGACGGACTTTTACAACCTCACAACAAAATTAAAACCCATAAGTCTTAAAAAAATAGCCACTTGCACTTCTTGTGTAAAGATATGTTTACAATATATATTTATTTATACAGATAAAGGTATGTATACAATATATGTATGTATACAATATACGGTATATCTTAACGGCATTAACCCAGTGGTTTCACGCATGTCGAGTAAGCCGTTACTTGCCGAATCCAATTCAAAAAGTAGGTTATGCGCGTATTAACGCCGGTCCCATACGGCTGACCGCAGGCTTGGCCAAAGCTAATACAGCCAACAAGAAACATACGTGAGTTGCGCAGCACTACCGGACCGCCCGAGTCAAATTGACATGCATCACGCCCTTGTCCAGAGTAGTCCGTGGTGCAGATTTGAGACGAATAAATTGGCACATCGTACTGTTCCTGACACACAGAATTCTGGATCACCATAAGATTAGCTTTCATTAGTGCATTTGTGGTCGGGCCGGCAAAGCTTTCGGTTCCCCAGCCGACAACGTCCACGTTTTGGTAAGAAAAGGTCGATGAACTGAAATAAAATCATTTAATAAAGAATTATTGTAAGCGTAAGCAAATAAGCTACTTGGTGAGATCAACTTACCCAGCTGGTGGAAGACAGATCGGACCAACGCCGCGTTCCCACTCAATCAATACTTTGGTTACCAACACACTGATGTCATTAACGGGCGGATCATCCCTGTAGCCTTCATGTATAATGATACTTTCAATACCATAAGCTGCCGAATAACGAGACGTGTTCACTGCGGGAGTAAAACAACAAGGTAAAATAAAGACTCGGAGTAATGCGTTGAAAAATAAGAAAATATTTACCTGCTGATCTGAGTGTAAAACCAACGTGCGCTATGATTTTAGAGGCGTCAGGTTGCATTCTAGCGCAGTGAGCGGCGGTGATTATGTGGAAATGCGAGACTAAAGAGAAGTAATTAAACAATAAATAAACAGATACAATAATTGCTGTTAAGAACACTCACTAATGGTGCCGCCACAAAAAATGAGCGCGTTGGATGCCAAATTCTCCAGCGCGACCATAAATGGAAACTCATTACTGCCGGCTTGCTGTCCATTGGCGATTTTCGTGGACATCGACCAACCACATTCGCATTGTTGCGGTTGTGCGATTAAGGAACAAAGGAATCTGCCTCCATTTCCTCTATTGTAGGAGACATACGCTAAAGTCAGCTTACGAAATGAGGAGACGCGCGTAAATGTGCCCTGGCCGCAAAACTGTTCCGAATCGCGAAGTTGCGGATCGCCCTCGGTGCTCACATAAAAATTTTCCGTTGTGCATTGACCGTCGCTCTAAAAGTAGTAGTAAAAAAAATAAAAACCACTTGTAGATTTAGTAAGCAAGCGGGGGTTTTTTACACTGGGTAACTCGATGGTGCAATTGGCTTCGACCGTATAGTCCGCTGGTGCAATAATTTGATAGCGGCAGGACGTCCCTGTAGGATATGTATTGGGGTAATACGGAGATTGCACATAGTAGATGGTGCCAGGGTTTATGTTGAAGGTGCTATCGCAGCCCTCGAATAGTGCTAAGACGCCGTGGTTGCCACTTAGCAGAAAAAGCAGCACGATACTGCAGATCAGAGCTGTAAAAGTGGCAAATGTGAATAATGCTAACTTAAAATACCAGAAAATGGTTTGAAATTGGACAAATAATTTTTTTGAGTTCAAAAACCTATTTGCTGTTTGTTTCTATGTTAACCCCCAGACTAGTAAAAGTAAATATATGCAAACACATATGCAGTACATGTAGTTGTTGGGATCATAATGTGTGTGTACAATTCCAAGCTGGTAAAATATTAACAAAACACATTTTATGCTTAACGAAAAACAGAAGACCTAATGTATCATATTTGTTATTACTTTTGAGGTAGATTACCGAGAAAAAAATCCAGCCACTGTTCTTAATTTAAGATCATGCAAATATTGATAGAGCCTAAGGGGAGAAAGAGATGTTCGGCCACGAAGAAAGACGACCCAAAGGCTGTCGAAGATACTGTTATCAACCATCTATTAAACTAGTAAAATTATTATCTAGCGTGTTTCTTCGTTTTAATCCGAATATGTAAATATCAGCACTTGTGTGGGAATAGAATAGAAAAGCAAGTATTTTTAAGCAAAAAAGTGTCCGCAGCTGCTGAGGAAACCGATAGAAATTGGTTTTTTTCCATACAAATACTAAGCTGAGACAAAGGTTAAGAGAGAGTTCTTCCCTTTCACTGACAGTCGGGTCTACGTAACCGAAACGGACCCGGATTTTTATCGGTCCAAGGACTGTCAACTCGGCCGCTACAACAATAACAGAATGTTGTCCTAAGAAAGGATTAAAAAATATTGGATCGGTTCTAGCTGAGTTTAAGTATAGTCTTGGAATATAAAAAAGTTTTAAATATGTAAACTATGGGAAGTCACTTATCTACTCTTTGCTTTTTAGCCAGTTACTGCCCTCAGTCTTGTATGTTACTTGTGAACTGCCTTTATAACACGTATTTCTTATAGCTTTACTTTAAGGACCCAGTGTAGCTGTAAATTCTGAATCAGAGAGTACGACTAAGACTGATCTATACCACACTATAGCTTCACTTACTTCTTTTGCACGACATTTTACTCACTAACGTTATGCCGCTAAGAAACAATTTCCACTGGTCGTCGCTTCGCGTCTTTAATGATCGCCTAACTCTCCGTTACTAACACTGTTCTAAGATAAGTATTTTACTAAATCGCACAAAACACACACACTTTAAACTTCCTGTTAATAATATGAGGCGTGTTTGAAGTCGCAACTTGTTAGCCTGGTTGTCTGCCTTTCTTATTACGTTTACGGTACGAACTGATTGCGCTGAGCTCACGAGGTTCGACTCGCTTTCGACTGATAAATGAGTTTGGTGGGCCTTTAGCCAATCTACTTAAATGGGCCGAATTCAATTGGTTTTTAAACAGTCAGGCACGAATGCAAAATTCTAATTTAAATGACTATATTTTCCGTACCCACACATGCAGCGCAAAGCGGGGTGTGTGCCCGGGTGGATTTGCACTAATTTTTTTGTGTTAATTTTTATGCATTTTCAAATACGCATAGAAATTTTTACGACCGTGTTGCGAACTTACGTACACACATAAGTGAAGCGATAGTGTATTGCTGCATTTGTTTTGCAATGTCATTAGGAAAGAAAATGCGCCGAAATGACAAGAATGCTTTTATTGATTATTAGCGACAACTAGATAATCTCAGCACCTTATGAGACCTTTTTTGCAATATTTTAGTCGCTACCTTTGAATTATGTGCCGTTAATTAGCTTTCCCAATTTATTCGTAATTGCATAATTTCGCAAACGAAGCTTTAAAAGCTCTTATCACTTAATTAAATTTAGCCTTGGCGGAAATTATAAATAACTGTTAATGGCTTTTCAAATGAGGATACATTGAGTGTAACCACTGTTGGTGCACGACAATTTGCGTTGCAGTTATAAGAAAATTAACTACCTCAACTTTCTAGCAGTTTTTAAAAACACTTATAGGTTACGTTAAATCTTCAGTTATATAGTAGTCCTCTCATTCCTTTGAGAACTTCTCTCTAGCCTATATTAAAGAAACCACTCTTAATGAGTTACCTTGACTTGCATTAGTTGCTCTGTAAAGCCCACTTGATCGGTTTTACATCAGATCCTACAACCTTTTCACATACCCTATCATTTATGTCCTCATCTCAGGTGAGGTTGTTGTCCTCGCTAAATGCAATCAAAGGGGTCATTGTCCTTCGGTCTGTAAGCAAAAGTGTAATTGACCTCACCATATTTCATTGACCGCAGGGATGATTGTTGCCCTGTTGGGAGGGTTGTTGTCCTTGCTAAAGGTAAACACATATTTTCTCCAAAAGTAATTGACTTCAATGTTAATAAGTATTTGAACCTTATTTCTACTATTCTATGAACGATGTAGTAAAGGAAGAGGGAGAGTCCATGTAAATTGTCCTTATGGACTGACTATGCAGAGGCTAACAAACGAGTCGGTTTAATAGTTGTTAAACCGTTGATATGAGTGATCAAAATACCGTTCACAGATAGAGGTTTGGTAGTCTGGAAGTAGTCTGATTTACGCCTTCTGGCCTCCGAATACAATGCTATTTATAGTACCTAAAAATAATCTTAAGTGTTATTCAGTCTTTATTATCATACGAGACCATCTTTAACCTAAAACTATAATTATCAGCCCTATTTAATAAAATCTCTGTAATGAAAAAGCTAAACCAAAGAATTTTGAGTAAAAAGAAAAAACTTCAAAGAAATTGTAGGAGATACGAAAGTAAAAAGGTATTAATCGTAAAATATGAAAAATTAGATTTTCAGTGATAAATTGTAGCTGTCAAGCCTTGGAAAATGGAATGCGAAAAGCGAATAAAAAATCGCCGAAGCACACATAAAAAGCAGACGAAGCATGAAAAAGTGAAGAGAAGTTAGAAATGAAAACCATAAATACATAATAAAGGCAAAGTACGAAATGCAAAAGCAATGCTGGAATGAACCGATATATGCGTTTGGAGGCAAAATTGCGCCGCCTAAAAGTAGGCAACGTCCATGCTGACACACACAGTGGCACGCGTAAAGACCTACGTGTATGCGCAAGTATATGTATGCAATTACTGGCGATTTTTTATAACCGCCCACCACCGCTTTCGCCCACCACAGTCACAGCACTAATCACCATTTATGTAAACATTTTTTCTGCGCCACTTTTAGTTGTTTTGTTTTGCTTCTCGCTGCCGATGTGTGTGTGCGCGCGTTCGTGGTTTTTAGTAGAAATTTTTAATTAGCCTCCACTGATGCTAACGCCAGTGGCAACAACAACAACAACATCAGCAACAAATACATTAGCCACGTCAAAGCTTCTAATACTAATGCACAAACGGGAGTCTAGTGGCGCGTTTAGCGCTGGCAGGTGGTTGGGCGCTTAGTTCTAGTTGTTGCTGGTCACCACCGTCAGTCACACACACACACACGCACACTTCAATTTTTTGCTTTTCACGTTTTTCTAGCTACTTTGGCATTGTTGTTGGTGTGCTTGTTGCTTTTGTTGGCATTGTGCTTATCAAACAGCCAGTCGGCCTGTTTGGGGATGTGCTTTTGCGGTTACGCCGCTCACACGCAACGCAATACACAGTCGCACCAACACACATGCACGAACATGCAACATTACGTGTACTTGCTGCAACACGCTGCATAATGTAGTAAATGTAAGCGCAAGTGCGCGCGTGTGTGCCGGTCGCGCTGGTGTGGTTGTGCGGCCACACGCACACTACTGCTCCGCCAATCAGCTCAACGCACAAAAATTGTGGGCCGCAAGTATATTTGGTGTGTCGAGGCCGACGCTGGAGCATGGTAGCGTGCGCGGGCTGAGAGGCGCACATTTGCTGTGCTCTCATTTGCTCTTGTCTGTGGGTATGAGTGTGATTTTGAGGTTTTCAGCTTTTGTCCTTTTTTCCTTGCCTTCGTTTGTTGTTGTTACACGCACTTTGGACAACAGGCGCTGGTTGAGCGCGAGGAGGGTTGCAGAGTGCCGGTAAACTACATTTTAGCGCTGCTTATTTCTAGTCGTCCTCTTTCGTTCATATACTTATTTGTGTGAAATTGAGGCTGGAGGCCGACCACATCTGAAATTAATGATTTGTAATTTAGTTTTTTATGGGTTCATCACAAGAGCAATACATATCGTTTGCTGTGAATGCAATTTCATTTAGAACTATCAATGTTTATAGTATGTGGTGTGCTGAAATATTAATAAAGATATTATTTTTCTTGTTTTTATTGCATTTGGCAAACTTTAGGGCAGAATAAATACAGTTCCTGTATTTTGTCGGTTTTTGACAGATATACAGTGATAAGCGGCTGAAATAAATAATCTTGATTATAGCTATATAATTATTAAAATCATATTTGGTTTTTCTAGTAATATTGGAAAATCGTACTCGTACCGCGACTCTACTTTCGTTCACAAATTTAAGAATATGAGAATTATGTTTTTTTTTATCGAATATATAACATTTCACCAAAACTCGAGTTTTTTGTAAAAAAACTAGTAAAAAGGTTAACTTCGGTTGTATCGAATACCCATATAATACCCTTCACAGGTGGGTTTTTTCTAGCATAAAAGAGTTTTGATTTTATTTAGGCAGTTTGTATGGCAGTTATAACCTATAGTGGTCCAATGTCGGAGCTTTCGACAAAGGAGCACCTATTTGAGAAGAGTAGAATGTATGTAAAATTTCGTATCAATATCTCGAAAACTAAGGGATCAGTTCGTATACTGATAGATAGAATGATATAGCTGAAACGACTCTGCTCATCACGCTGATCATTCATATATATTATAAAATTTATAGATCTTCTACGTTTCCTTTTGGGTGTTACAAACGTCGTGGCAAACAGTTGTAAGCAATATTAAAATAGGCAGACACCTTAAGCTCTAATAGACCATTTAAAGGCTCCCCAACTCAACCTTAAATAAAATTCAATTTCAATGATTTTGGTAATTATCTTCTCTTTCTCAGTCAAAGATTACGTACACGGCAGACGCAGCCAGCAGAAAAGCTTTAAAAGCAATTTATAAAATAGAAAATATGAACGCACGACACGTACAAATTAAAAGTGAATGTCAGGAGAAAATCGAAAAATAGAGCAAAGAAGTGTGTACGAAGTAAAAAGCAATTTACGTTAAAAATAGACAGACCTTAGGCATACAAATTGTCGCTGGCAACATTGGGCGGGACTGCAGCCCCCACTAAAGCATTCTACTAACTCCGTGAACAACAACTAACACTATTGTTTTACACGCCGCTGTACTTACGGTCAGTTGTATAAATGCGCTCTCTTTCCAGCGCAACATGCGATCTCACTCTGCCTCATGCGAGCTGGACCTCCCTCCCGTTCCCGACTGCCATGTGATTAACATAAACACACCCAAAATATATAAACAGTACGTGCTGCAGGCACCACACCGCCAAGCACTGGCCTAGCAACAAATTTCGGTTGCTTTTATAATGTTGCACAGCAAAGCAAAAGTAGAAAGTTTCATTAGAGCGAGATGCCATTATCATTACTCATTTGGCCGCAAGCAAAAAATTGGCAAAAAAAAATATAATAAAAAAAAAAACAGAAAACATAAACAACAAGAAATACGTGGGTAACAATGCTGGAATAGATGAGTACTTTTTAGTGCAACAGCACGCACACGCCAAAAGAAAATTAGAGAGGAATAATCTATGCCGCACATCATCTCTCACTCTAAGCACCTTCTGCCGGACCAAATGCCTAGCAGCCTAACTCCGAAAGAAAAAATTAGAAAAACTACCAACTACGTTTTTCATAATGTTACTGCACACATACACACCTGTGTGTCTCAACCCAATCAGCTGCGTTGTGCGCGTTAATCAGACGCTGGCGATGCCGAAGTGAGCAGGCTGCCGCAGCTTGCGGATGAGCGAAAATGGGAAATAGAAAATGTGAACTTTGTTTTACTGCAAATTTCCACCCAACAACTAATGTGGTTAATACACACAGATATATACATATTTGTGCGTGTGTGCTTACATGTAGGACACATGTGTATCGCCACAAGCTCTTACTCATGCTTTCAAAGTATGCATGTAAATTGTTGGTAGAGTCTACTAACAACAACGCGCGGGCGCGCCTGTTTTCCACTGGGTGCCTACAAACAGCCAACAACAAGAACAGAACACCCTGCAGACCGACGCAAACACACGCGAGCACATGCACACAGGCATTGACGCTGGCCGCAGTGGTACGCCAGCCCCCATCGCTGCATAGCCTGCCAACAACAACCAATCAAAAAATTTGTTTACGAATAGTAGCAAAAAAGAGAATGACAAGCCAAGCAGCGGCGAGAAAAATCGAAAAGTGCGGAAAAAATTCAGCGACGCCACTGCCGCATCA